CTGCACAATTTATGCATAAATAAAAGTTAATTACCTGAAAAGTTTTCGATATTCCCGCTGCTAATATGTTTTTCAAACTGAATGCACCTTCTGACGACGCTCTACGTTCATGAAAGTATCCATGTTTAGTCAAAATTCACTTTTACAACGATCCTACTCGTTTTCTAAGCTGCTTTACAGACAGTTCAGTCATTTGCCACGCCGATTCTCATTTTTAGATTATATGCTCACAAAACGCGTAGGTAGATTTTCAATTTGTGTCCGGGGAGATACAATGTTTCCAAGTAGGTACTCAGTACATAGAGTAGATGCTCAGGTATATAAGATTATTACTCTTTCTAAGTACTTCTTACTTCGAATATGAGTATCTACTCACTTTTATTCATACCACCCATGTCTCGCTTCAATGTTTGATTATGTTGATTATGAGCACAACGCTGATCAACTTCCGTATATAAAACGACACAAAATTATTTTCACGGTCAATCAAATCTGTAAATTTTGTCTTGAGAATTTTAAAATACTGAAAACTTCAAATCAAATCCTCGAATAACGGTAAAGTTTGAGATTTTGTCGAAACCAGCAAAGTGAACATAGGTAAATAGAATGGCAGATCAAAATTAATAAGAAACTTTCGCAATGCGTAACTGAATTCACTTTAACGAACACTTTTCTTGAAATAAACGACGTTTTTTGTTACGAAAAAACAAACAACGACTTGAAATGCAATAATACTTTTCACAATCGCACGGAAGAAATAGTTTTGTGTGACACGTCAGTCAGGCGACAGGTCCGTCAGGAATGGCCAACTATTCAAATTCATTCCAAGTGGCGATTCCCGTGCAAAATTTTAAATTTTTTTTTTATCTTTTAGCCGTCTTATTTTTTATAAATATTCTTACATATAAACCTTCTCCTGACGATAAGGAACACGTAAAAAAAAGAATCGTCCAATTCGGTGAGGCCGTTCTCAAGTTATGGGCGTACATACATTTCGGCGAGTCATTTTTATTAATATAGATTTTCCATGATCTGGATTTTGATTTCGTCCTCCTGCGTCCCCACCCACCACGGAGTCCAACAAGGGGACGTCGAACTTCGACGTCAGGGCTAGCAGAAGGATATAGCCCCCAGGGAAGCTCATCCTGCAGTACGCAACCTCAACTAGTGAGGTTACTCGTGCTCAGACTACACTTCCCCCAAGGACTCACCCTGTCGGCGGTGTGACCCGACGACACAGCCGATTGATCTGAGATGGGTTAATCTCGACCTCCCGTTTTGGTGGAAATCCAGGCCAAAGAGGCGTGTTGCCCAGCCTTGGTGACACACTGCACCAAGGGGGGCTCAACCTCCAGGATTCCTTCATCCCACCTTACGGGTGTCCACGCACGGCACAAACACGCGGGAGCTTGTCCGCGGGGCTGTTTTGACGACCCCACACCAGGGGTTTAATCCCGGGGGGGGCACGTTTATTTCCAGCCCTCCTCTACTGAACCGCCTTCGCGGCCGTCTAAGCCGACAACCACCAAGGCATGTCCAGGCAAGACGAGCCTCAGCCCTAACCTACATATCTGGAGAAGGGAAAAATCCAGGTCGGACTTCCACCACCCCCAGGAGTGTTTAGTTCCGGGGGGCATATCCGCCCTCCCCAGACCTCCCTTCCCCAGACCAGCGATTTTAGTTATGTAACTTTGCTAAAGTGTTTGAACTTGTATTGCACACTTACATCTCAAATCACATGTCTCAAATGATTTCACCAAATCAACATGGTTTTATTAGTGGTCGCTTAATTGAGACCAATCCTATACCTTTCACTCAATTTCCTCATGATTCTTAAGATGATCAACGCCAGGTGGATGTCATTTATATTAACTACTCCAAGGTGTTTGATAAAATAGACCACAGTTTGTTAATAAAGCTAGAATGCTTTGGGTTTGCTGATCCACTGATAAAATTGTTTACATCCTATTTAGATAGCCGGTATCTTTTTGTGGAGTTAAATGGATATAGGTCTAAGTTATTGAAACAAGAAACTGGCGTGCCTCAAGGATCTGTTTTGGGTCCCCTGCTGTTTATTGTATTCATAAACCATATTGTTGACATCATAAATAAACGTTCTCTTCTATTTACAGATGACTTAAATAAATAGATATGATGACGCCGCACAATTACAAAAATATTTAGACAGAGTTCATCAATGGTCTGAAAACAATAATTTAAAACTTAACAAAAATTATGACATTTACAAAAAAAACTGAGTCTCTATTGTTTAATTACAATATTGATGGTACCACGCTTAATGGACCTGAAGTGATATGTGACCTCGGTGTAATTTTTGACTATAAACATTCATTTTCACATCATATTCAGTTTATTTCAGAGGCAGCGTATAAATCCTTAGGTTTTGTTATACGAGATGGCCGTGAATTTGGTGATGTTGAAACATTAAAAGCTTTATGTCTTAGCTACTGTAGTTCGCGAATGGAATACGCTTCTATTATATGGTCTCCTATATATAATATTCATATTGCTTCTCTTGAGAGAATTCAAACAAGATTTTTCAAAAAGGATGGTTTATACATATATTGCATGGTGCTTATCCACCCAGAGGTTTCTCTCAGCAATCGCTGCTTGCTAGATTTCAAATGTTTTCTTTGTTGACCAGGCGTGTTGAACATTCCTTGATACTTCTGTTTAAAATTCTTCAAGGTGTACATGAATGTTTGGCTATACTCTTCAATTTAAACTTTAAGATCAACAGAGCAAATGGTCGGAATAAAAAGACTTTTTATCTTCCTGCAGTCCGTACTCTCAGTGCTGTTGCTTCTCCTTTAATGCAAATGCTATCTAACTGTAGAAGCCTAGAGGCGAATGACATAGGCATATTTAATTGCACGATTAATGACAAGACGATATTTTAATAACTCTCAGTACTGATCGCTTGTTGAATTTGCTTGTTCCCCTTCTCCTGTAATTGGGTTATTACCCGTTGGACACTGTAATCAATAATAATAATATTAATAATAATAATAATTTTTAAGATAATAATGTTGGCTTGTAGCTATTTGACACTTTATTTGAAAATTATTTGACCGTAACTGTCAAACTGAACAAGGAACGCGTTGATGTTGCCAACATCATTATTTTATAAATATATTTCATTATCTACATTTACTAGAGGGCATTTTTTCGATTATACGTAATATTTTTCAGTATTCACACTGTCAGTTAACAAGACGATGAATATACCGGCTAAGGCTTTGAAGTTTTTGCATATATTACAATTTATTTACAAATACATTATCCACGTCAACATATTACATAATAAGAAACTAAACTTAGAAATAATGACCAACTAAACAATGAATATACGAGGTAAGCGCCAAATATTCTCGGCCTAACAAAGAAAGAGACCTGATGGAAAAAAATTAAATATTTATATTTCAACATAATCTCTGTTAACTTCAATACATTCAAAACTACGTCCAACTAACAGCTCTATGCGTTTAAAAAAATTATTTGAATCTTTATCACTAAAATGATGTAGTACTGCCGTTTGCACCTCTTTATCCGTCCAAAACGTTTTCCTTGCAAGTCGTTTTTTAACTTAGAGAACAGTTAATAATCGTTCGAAGCTAAGTCAGTACTGTAGGGTGGGTGATCAAGTTACTCGAAGTCACAGGCCCCTATAGCAGCTTGAGAAAGACATGCGGTATGAACGGGCGCATTTTCATGAAGCAATCGAACGCTTCTTGTTAATTTTCTCGGCTTTTTTTCCCAAATACGTTCTCCTAATTTATGCAGTAAGTAAGCATAATATGTAGCGTTGACAGTGGTATTTCATCCTTTAAAATTAATCAACAACATTCCTTTACAGTCCCAAAAAATTGTGGCCATGATTTTTTTGGAAGATTGGTTCGTCTTCAAGGGTTTCTTACCCCATGCGAAATAACTGTGATCATTTTTTTTAGTAAAATGTGAAGGACAAGCTTCAGCAAACACAAAAACCATCCTGTCCTTAATACCCTTTAGAGCAATTCCATCTTTTGATAAGAATTTGATTGCCGTTCGATTTTCAATTTTAAACAGGCATGCTGAGTCCATAATTTTTCAAATATTACTCCTCAAATGTATCAAAACTAATGGGCAGTGGGGCTTGAAATTTTACACACATACTGCGGGGACCCTCTAGTCTTTTATGAGTTGTACAAATTTCCCGACGAGCAATCGCAAATATATCAGGCCGAGAATATTTGGCGCTTACCTCGTAATTAAAACTAAAATACTTATAACCTGAAAACTTCTTGAAAATACTGAAATAAAAACAAATTTATACCATTTTCAAAATAATTCTCTCCACAATAAACTAAGACTACTGCTGTTTATGCATACGAACGTTTAAATTTGGAGTGTGATTGATTAATTGATTAATTAATACAACGATGAACCACGCTGTGTAATACCACGCAGTCTGATTCGCTGAATGGAAAAATCGTCCTAGATAAAATGAAGCTTGTAGGTGTGCATATCATTAGTATGGGGATATACTGGATCAAGTGAACACTTAGGAGCTGCAAGTGATCTAGAACAAATTCTTACACATTCAGTTCGAAAACTAAAACAATTTCATTCATCTACACGCAAGATTAACATCTAACTTATTGTTTTCTGTTTTGTTTCAGGTGTTAAGGGTCACTCGTTTATACCTAAAATTGCAGGAGTCTGTAGTCACTAACCAGATACTTGTAACCACAAAAAATATTTCAAGTTAATTATGAGGTCTGTAGTACAAGTTTACATAACAGTAATCGAACACGTGTAGGAGATACTCGCGAGATAAAGAATGAAACAATTCTATATGATTAGATCTGTTTAATCTCTGTAAAGTTTTATTCCATTCTTCTGCACCTCTCGAGTGTGTAAAAAATGTACCTGAGACCAGATAACTTAAAATTTTTTATTATCTTAAAACATAAGACACACTCTACACTTTAATATAAAAGCACCTTTAGCGAAAAAATACCTTAATTAAACAAAATGTTCCGCCTTGCTGTTATTTGTTTCTGTGTATCATCGATCTGGGCTTTGCCTTCTTCACCCAGGGATTCAAAATTGTCACCCTTCAAACGTACAGGTGTGTACCGTAATACAGTAATAATAATAACAATAATAATTACAACGCTCAGGTCCCAGAATTATTAATGGAGACGAAGCCAGTGAAGGTCAGTTTCCTTGGCAAACCGGCATATATATAACTGCAGATGATGGGTATTTTTTTTGTGGAGGTAGCATAATCAGCGAGGAATGGATTCTTACTGCTGGACACTGTGTCCTTGGGTAATACATATTTTAAACTATGCAGTACGTTATATTATTCATCTTCAGAGCCTAGTCTGCCCAAGTCGTAACTGGAACTCTCGATGCAAATAATGGATTATTTTCAAACGCATCTACTTTTATTCTGCATGAAGGGTATGATGATTATACAACCGCTAATGACATTGGGCTAATTAAGCTTGATACACCTTTAGAACTGGGTGGTAAGTTTTATTAGAATCTCTTTATTCCCGGGCGTAGTCCCTCGAGTAGGAAAAAGTAGGTACTCCATTACCGCTTCAGTTTTTGGTTTCTGTTAGCAGTTTGATCATAGAACTAATCTTCGAAACTATTGGAATACATAACCGATCACTTTGAAAATTTGTACACTCGTTAAGGTTATTGTTAACATGATAAACTGCTAATCAGATTTCATTTATTTATCCTTTTCAAAAATTAGATGACACACCTTTTCACCAGATTATTAATTGAATAAAAAAGTTTCTCCAATTTTCTCAAAATTTTCTAAACGCAATATTATTTTTATTTTAATATAAGCGCATTATAAAAAATCAATTTGTTCCAGGAAACACAGATATTGTAAACTTGGCATCCGATGAACTTGAAGCTGATGTCGATATCACAGTCAGTGGTTGGGGTCTAACCAGCGACTGTTAGTAAAACCGTTCTTTTTTTTAATTTTATAATGTTTTTTTTTAGCTGGTTCTACGATAAGCGAATCACTAAATTATGTCGAGCTTCGTACCATCACAAACGACGACTGTAATCAGTATTATGGACCGGGGGCAGTCCTTCCGGAAATGGTATGTGCCAATTCTCCTACATCTGAAGTTAGGGGCACCTGTAACGTGAGTTTTTTCTGTGAATTTGGAAATTGCTTATTAATGAGGACATTCTTGCAGGGCGATAGTGGCGGTCCAGTAATAATAAACCCTGACTCAAATCCAATTCACGTCGCTATTGTTAGCTTTGTTAGCAACCAAGGATGCGAGAGCGGTATTCCTTCTGGGTACACCAGAACCGCGTACTATAGAGACTGGATTAAGGAAAATGCTGGAGTGTGAAAATGAAAGTATAATATGTGTAAATACAACAACAGAAAATAGTGGATTATATTGTGATGTGTTATTTCAATGCCTAAATTTTTTAAGAAGTTCTTGATAAGTGTTAGATCAAGGAGAGGTTAGCTTCTCCAGTTATTAGTGAGCTAATTTGATGCGACATTTCCTCTTTTGTGAACACGTCTCTCTTTGAAGTATATACAGAGTGTTGATAAAGTTCCCCACAAAATTAATATTTTCCTTAATCGGCATTTTCTTGAAAAATCCTCGAACAGATAAATTTTATTTTCTAAAAGGACACTTTTCTACGTAAAAATTATTTTTTTGCAACCAGCTGTTTTTGCAAACGTCTTTATATAATAATGATAAAATAAGAGTTATAATATTCAGAGCAATTTGTTCGATTATTATGGTTTAATAGTTTTAGTCCTGTTTTGAGAAGATTAACTTATTTAAATGAAATTAATTTCTACGTGACATTCTTTCGATGTATAAACATAAATATTCAAAATTTCTTGAAGAGTGTCTGGACGTGTGTGAGCTGTGCTCCGTGAGTTTTAGTTTTTCTCACTAATTTTATAATGGGTTATTTAATATAAATTGGACAGTCAGCTATATGTGTGCACTGTTATATTATCAGCAATTTTTAGCTAAATTACACAATTAGTAAATTAGTGTTGCTTGTTGTGTTTCTGTGATGCTTTTGGCGCGTGTGACTATCAGTTATCGCTAGAGTTTTTTTGGGTCTAATTAATTACCTGTCTTAAATCTTGTTTTTATTCACGTGGCTGAACTTTAGCTGGTTAATATTAGGTACAACAGGGTACAGTAGTACACATTAGCACCTTAATTATCTGTCCAGTAACCTTTTTTGTTTTCTATTATTTTCTCAAGATGGTTGTTTATTGTGGAATCTGCAATAGTGCTATTACGTCTGCAGTTCCTGGAATTAAATGCAATTACTGCACCAACCATTTTCACATCAAAGGTGTTGGTATTGATAAATCCCAATATGTTTTAAAATCCCTGCGTGGTGCTTGTTGAAAATGTGACGATTCTCTTTCCACAAAAAGTGATACAAGATCATGCAACTGTTGCAAATTACTACCAAGTTTATTAGATACAATAATGCTATGATATTTCCTCTTTTCTGGAATATGTTGATTCAGAAATTGTACGTAGGTTCATTAAATGCGCAACTGTGTTTAGGAAATAAAAAAAAGTAGTTACGAAGTTTTGAAGAAATGGTGGTCCATGGTATAAATACGAATATATTTTGTTCTAAACAGAAGCATTGAAAATGCAGCTACTGGGAGCATGACACATTCATAACTATCGCAAGGTTACAAGCTATCAAAAGTTCTCTGATTATGTTGTTAAGAAGTGTAGAGAAAATTTTGATCACGCTTCATTGTAGATAAGATCACCAAATTTTAAAGACAAAGATATGGTCTGTTTTTCGCATTACTATTATTCAGAGATATATATCTAACATGTACCTAAAATAAATACAAAATCCTGATAAACTTATTTATAGTCTTCATACAACGACATAAACTACAAAAACCTTGCATAATACAAAAAAATATTCAGTAAGAGCGAAGTGTTTCCTTTTGTAATTCTTTGCTTGTGCGTATCATCAATCTGAGCTTTGCCCAAAAATTTTTCCTTGAAATTTCCAGGTGAGTATTCCGACAACCATTAAAAAATAAGTATATAACAGATTTTAGAATTCTAGGTCACAGAATTATTAACGGGGATCCTGCAATCAAAGGTCAATTTCCTTGGCAAGTTGGCCTATATGTTACCACCGAGGACGGTTTATGGTTTTGTGGAGGCAGCATAATTAGCGAAGAATGGATTCTCACTGCCGCACACTGCACTAGAGGGTAATAAAGATACTACTGTATGTGCAAAATTTGAAAATTCATTGCGTTTTTCTAGAGGTATGTCTGCCCAAGTCGCTAGTGGTTCAATACATTTAGACCTAGCCACAATTACAAACGCTTCTACTATTATCACTCATGAAGATTATCGCCCTGAATCAACGGCTAACGACATCGGACTTGTCCAACTTGATACACCATTAAAGTTTGATGGTGCGTTTTATTAAATTGTTAGTAGGTATTTGTCATAATCATTATCTTCTGTCTTAGAAAATACAGCTGTTATCAGCTTGGATAAGGAAGAAGTTGCAGCTGATGTACCTATCACAATTAGTGGCTGGGGACACACCCATAATGGTTAGTAAAAATTTCTTATTTCTTTTGCCTAATTTATTATAATTTGTTCGTTAAGGTACTACTGAATTAAGTGAAGTGTTGAACTACGTCCAATTAGTTACTCTCTCGGACAGCGATTGCAAGGGGTATTTTGGTGATTTAACTCCACCTGAAATAGTTTGCGCTAATTCTGCTACATCTGAAGTTAATAAGAGTTCATGTAGTGTAAGTATTATTTTAATTTTGTGAGAAGTATTTTAATATTTAGATGTAGGGGGACAGTGGGGTGCAGCAGTGGTTGATGCTGCCGCAAACCCCGTTCAAGTGGCAATGGTTAGTTTTATAAGTTTCGTTGGATGTGAAGCTGGTACACTTTCTGGGTATACAAAAACTACGTACTTCAGAGATTGGATTAGAAGCAAATCTGGAATTTAAAACTACAAATAAAAGATAAACCGTTTTAGACCTTTACAAATTAATAAATAAGATGTTTAACAAATTTTTAATACCTATTTGTTTCAATTACCTGCAACCTGCAACCAATGTAATTTTCTAAAATTTAAGTAATAAGCAGCTTATAAATATTTATAAAGTGTGTCTTGTAATTCTGGTTTCACCGAAATATTTGGAAAATATCCACAGCGTGAGGTAAAACGATAAAGTAGAATTGCAAACTATTTTCTTCATGCTATATAAGATATTAATAGAAACCAGTTCTTAAACATTAATACTATTCTACCCGACTTTGTGAAATGGATATGTGAATTTTCAAAATACCGAAGCAAGCAGCCATTGTAACTTTTCAAATTCATTTTCTGCCATTAAACCAACCAGTAAAATATACGGCAACAACAAATGAGACGGTTATATAGTCTGAAAGAGGCGAAACAAATCAATGCCCATGAAATGAATGTAGTTATGACTCATTTAAGAAGTAGTATTTAACAAAAGAGAACTTTTGTGTTCAGTATTTTATATGTAAGACTTATATTATTCAATAAAAACTGCTAGTAAATTTGGCCTATGTTATCTATTTAAATTTTACGTCGTATCAAATTTTATGTATTCGAAAGCCATCGCGAATATACGATTTATTTCTCTTGAATGCCACTTAAAACAACAACCTGACGTCCGCTGAATTGGTTCCACTAGATCTTTCTGGATTCAATTAAAGTTTCTAAAAATGGTGACAACTGGTAATACTTATTATACATTTTGTTTCAAAGATAACCACTGAAAATGCAACCATTTGAAACATGATCAATTCAAAATTGTTTCACATTTATCGTTGTTGATAGTACTATCGGGAACTCGGGGAAACTTTGATTAAATGAGTTCTACTTTAGTCATTGATCAAAATGATCTTATTACAGTATTTCCTACAGCTGTCACTCAAAAAAATGTCATTTTCTGACTTAATGTTGTTTTCTAACTATATAGCATTTGGTCAGAAACTCAACCTGCCACTGAATTTATTGAGAAGCCTCAGCGCTTATGTTTTAATCTGTAATTAATGAATTTATAGTAGAAATAATACGTTTTTGGTAGACGATATTTCTCAACTTTAGTCTGCTTGTCAAATTTTAGTAAGTCCACTGGAAAAATGTTACAGATTGATCCACTTAATCTATAAAATTACATATACTCATAGTAGGAATTTTGAAAAAGAACTACGTTTGAAAAATTAGATTTTTTTTTGACCATTTTTAATATATCCTTTGTATCCAAAGTCGTCAAAAACACCAATTTTAGCACTATCTACTTTTATGTTTTTATAAATACGTTTTTGTGTTTTTATCAGACAGGATGTAGTATTGCAATCATCAACTTTCAGATTAATAGATCGATTCTGTAACTTATTATGTTAACAACATTCTGTTATCACTATGTAAACACAGCTAACATTATGTTGTTGCTATGTAATAACATATTTAACATAAATTGCAATTCGTTAAGCTTGTTTCTGTTATGTTAATAACATTATGTTATTAAAATACTCTGTAAAATAACAGAGACATTTGAGTCAATGTTATTAACATAATACGCTTATTTTAACGTTTATTAATTAATAATATCACAAATTTGACTGCGGTGGCAAAAGAAGTTAAAATGGCAGAAGTGGATGATTTTCTACCCGTCTTCGGTTATTTATTATTAGAAGACGAAATTCAACGATAAGTCTTTCATATCATAGTATTACTAATAAAAATATAACAATGCATGTATTATAGGAACAGGATGAGAATTCGGCGGAGGGAACTTCGCGACAATCAAAAACCCTTTGAAAGTTTAAAGACGGAATTTAGAAAGTCCTTTCGTTTCAGCAAAAATCTGACCCGTTTCTTACTGCAGAGGTTGCAACCTCATTTGGGAAATCTACGTGCCAATGGTATTCCTGGATACTTAAAAATTTTAGCCACATTGAACTTCTTAGACCATGGCTCATACCAACACTGCTTAGGAAAGGAATGTCTTCTTCTACTGCCATGAGTCAACCATCGGTTAGCAGGGCCATGACTCAAATTTGTCGCCTAATTAGTGAAATTTTAATGCCTCTCTTTTACGAAAAAACAAATTTTCGTGATGTAATTATTTGTTTGACAGTGACAGATGATGAAAATGGTATCATTACTTCGAAAAATAACATTTTCGGACAAATGACACATCTGTTATTTAAATACTAACATAACGATTTAGAGAATACGACATTTCTTGTTTTATGTTAACGTCGTGATAACATAGCAATTTTAATAACAGAAATTTAAAATAACATAATGTTAACTGATTGTTACAGAATCGACCTATAAATTATGAATTGTAGAATATATATATTAACTTGACCGCTGGAGATCCTTGTTTGTATCGCACTTCACCAGAGGAAATTTTGATCACGCTTCATTGTTTTTCAATTATATCTTGATAAGATCATCAAATTTAAAAGAGGTAGATAGGGTTTGTTTTTGGCTTTACTACCATTCAGAGATACCGATCTAACATGAAGCGTAGATACGTGACACTGATAAATTTATTTATAATTTTGGTACAAACACACACTATAAAAACCGTGCATAATACAAGAAAACACTCAGTATGAACAAAATGTTTCCTTTTGCCATTATTTGCTTGTGTGTATCATCAACCTGGGCTTTACCTTCTTTAATAACACATTCCAGAGATGTACCTTTCAAATTTCCAGGTCTGTATTCTAACAGCCTCTAGAATATAAATATTAATTTCTAAAATACTAGGTCCTAGAATTATCAACGGAGATCCTGCAAGTGAAGGTCAGTTTCCTTGGCAAGTTGGGCTATATATTTCCGGCGAGAATAGTTTAATGTTTTGTGGAGGTAGCATAATCAGCGAGGAATGGATCCTTACAGCCGGACATTGTACCACTGGGTAATGATCACATTTTCCTGTCTTTAATATCCCAAACTCATTGCATTTTTTAGAGGCGTGTCTGCCCAAGTCATAAGCGGTTCAATAAGTTTAGATCTGGGCACAACTTCAAATGCTTCTGAAATCATCGTTCATGAGGATTTTGATCCTCAAATCGCTGCTAGTGACATCGGACTTATTAAACTTGATACCCCATTGAAGTTTGATGGTGGGTTTTTATTAAATTTTAAACTTGTTTTTCTAGTAAATGTTATAATACTTATTTTGTCTTAGAAAACACAGCTGCTGTCGGCTTGGCTGAAGAAGAGCTGGGGGCTGATGTTACCTTCACAATTAGTGGCTGGGGACACGTCAGTGACGGTTAGTGAAAACTTTTGGTTTGATTAGTTTAAATTATTATATTTTGTTCTTTTAGGTAGTACTGAATTAACTGAAGTGCTGAATTACGTCGATCTAGTCACTATTTCGAACGACGATTGTCAAGGATTTTATGGTAATTCAATTAGACCTGAAATGGTCTGTGCCACTTCTGGGACAGATGAAACTAGGAGCTCGTGCAGCGTAAGTACAGCTTGTCCAGCTTAAAATTATTTTTACATGCCGCCCCTGGATGCAGTTAAATTGGGCACCAAATTAGCACTACTGTGTATCCATATAGTGTTCTTTCTTACATTGGACAAGTTTACTTTTAATTTTATAAAATTGTTTTATAATTGTTAAATACAGGGGGACAGTGGTGGTGCAGCAGTGGTTAATGCTGATTCAGATCCCGTTCAGGTAGCCATCGTTAGTTTTGTTAGTTTCACTGGATGCGAAATGGGTGCACCTTCTGGGTATACAAGAACTGCGTACTTCAGAGATTGGATCAAAGATAAAACTGGGATTTAAAAGCACAGATAAAGGACAAAAATGTTGAAAACTGTATAAATTAGTAAATAAAATGTTTTAATGTTTTTTCTATCGTGCACGTTTTTTGGTTTTCTAATAGAACTATTAAAGCACGCAAATGACGTCAAAGCGGTTCGTTAATAGCGAAAAAGGGTTCTCTAATAGATCTGGTGTAATTTAGATCGGTAAGATTGGTAGCCATCACGAGAAATGTCAGGTGAATGTCAGTGGCAAATGTCAAATTAAAATTTCCCGTATTTCTGGAGACGTAAGGACTTCACTAACTTCTTCACAAGACATTTTAACCAATTTTAACTTTAAAAAACTCGAATTGATTCGAATTACAGTTGTTGTTGTGAAAATTCGAACTTCAAATATTTCGTGGTTAGCGTCAGACCAACCCATCACCAACCACGACAAAATTCCCCAGATTTAAAAAAACTCGAATTTCAATTAAATTTTGCGAAATAACATGCGCAGTAGAAAAATAATAAAAACAACTCCTTCATAAGGCCATTGTAGCACTCATCCTTTATATAACTCGCGGCTTCGCCGCTCATTCTATAAACTTGGATTCGTGCCTCAATACTCAATATTTGTCTTATGAAACTCGTTCTTTAATATATACTATTTTTCTACTTTGCGTCAATAATATTTTCATTATGAAACGTATATGCGTTTCACAATAATGCCATTTAATTTTATTATAGCACGGAAAACAGTAACTTTTTCTTTCTCTACTTTGCGTTCGTAACCACGCTATTAAAGCACCCAAATTGAGTATTTTAATAGAAATTTGAGTGTTTTAGCAGAACTGGTGTAATTTATATTTTCAAGATTGGTAGTTAGAAATGTTATTGTCAAGTAACAAATATAATGAAATATAATAAAGGTCAAAAGAATGAAATGGTGCTTCTAAATGGAAGTAATCTTTATCATGAATTTACAGGTATGAAAGAAATGTTGAAGTTACAAGTAAGCCATAAAGGTCAAAACCAAGTTTTTTTATAAACATACCCAATTGTAATTATTGAGAATTAAATATTTAATGAGATTTCTAGTATTTGTTTAATATAATGTATGTACTTCCCTGTTTTTTAAATGGAGTTGATTTTTCACGCCACCCCAGTCATAAACTTGCCCGTTAGCTTAGACTTTAACATAAATGCTACTTTGACAGCACCTCATTTGAAAATTGTAGTAACAGTGTCACATTTTCTGTACGTGTTGATATCTATCTCCAAATAATAGAAAAGCAAAAAAAAAAAATCAAAATCTATCGGTCTGTCTTGATCATATCGACAATTAGTAAAATGAAATTTGTTCAAATATTTCTACCAAATATGGCACCAGATATTAAGGATGTTGTGTGGCCGACTTCACGTTAGGTTAGACTTTAGCAACATTTAGTATTTACTCAGGAGTTAATTTCAAGTTGGATGTGCGAAAACATAAGTCCCGTTGCTATGACAATTGCGAAAACCGTTGTTGTGAGTCGCGATTTGACTATTGTCATCGCATCTTCCATCGCAAACAGGGACTTGCGAAATCCTAAATCCAACTTGGAATTGGCCCGTCAGTTAATAATATTTTTTTAATAAGATTTTTTTCGATATTATGTTCTTATGTCGAACTTAAAGAAATACATGACGTGAAGAATTGTCAAGATTTCAGCGTTCGAACAAATTCGATGTTAATTTAATAACTGTATTATAATGGTTTTTGTAAACATATTTCGTGAACTCAAAGGGGAAAAATGACTTACACAGTAAACGCTGTTAATCAAGCTGCAGTTAAACCCCAAAAAAAAAAGAAATGGGTCGCTGTTTTGGAAAGAATAATTGTGATAATTACAGTTTTAGGGCGTCAAAATTTAGGTTTAAGAGGAACTACTGAAAAGTTGTATGAATCAAATAATGGAAATAATCTTGAAGTTAGGGTGTATTTCTAATTTTGATAATACCCTATCAGAACACATTTCTCGACTTCAAAGTGCTCAACATTGTATATCCCATTATCTTGGCCAAAATATAGTAAATAAATTAATAAGTATAATTACTGAAAAAACAACTGTAGTTGTTTATTCTATAATTTTAGATTGTGCACGTGATGCAACATACAAAGAACAACTTACTGTTGTCTTTGTATGTTATTGTCAGGTTTGTTTATCTCAACTCGTCCACAAAGCTTGTTAGGGTTACAGAGCGTTTTTTAGGGTTTTCATCTGTTACTGATATGACGGGACAAGGAATAGCAACTTGTCTGTTAGATTTTTTAAAATCAATACATACTAAACTGGATGATTGGCGAGGCCAAGAATATTATAATGGGACAAACATGAGAGGAAAAAATATAGACCTCCAAAAAAAAATTAGACATGAATCCTCGTGCTTTTTATGTTCCTTGTGCGGCTCACAGCCTTATTTTTGTGGTAAATTATGAACAAATAACGATTGTTTTTTCAGTTGTCCAGGAAATTTATGTATTTTTTTCCGGAAGAACTTCACGTTGGGATGTCATCATGAATCAGATACCCAGTTTAACGTTAAAACCACTTTAAAATACGCGAGGGAAAGTAGAATTGACGCTCTAAAAGCACTTCGTTTTAATATGGAAAGAAATGATAATGCATTATATTTTATTTTTTTAAACAACAAGTATGACAACGACACAAGGAACATAACGAGCTCATTGATGTCGAACTTAAAAAGTTTTAAGTTTATGTTTCACAAAATTAGCTGCAAATTCTAATTCGGTATCTTTTTTTTTATCATCCAAATCACAAACGAATCCGACATCTTTTTAAATGCTGACACGTATGAATTCTGCAACTGCAGAAATGAAATAATAACTAAATTTTGTATGTATTATCGCAGGTTGTAGATAATATAGATAGTATCAAAAATAATAATCAGCTGCAGATTAGGTTGTCTAACAAGTTCACATAAGTACATGTAAAATGGTACTAAAGCATCTGCTTATACGTAAGTATTAGCATTTGGTTATTAATACCGATTGTAGTATGTACTTTTGGCATGTGCTGATGATCATTTTATGAAGTAAGTTCTTGTGCTATACTTAGAATACCTAATTTATAATTTTGTGTTAAGTTTAAATTTTTTATTATATTTTTTGTTTCTTATTATCTAAAAATAACTCTGTAAATTGTATAATTGTAATAAGACTGTATCTACTGACTGTCGTCTTTTGAACTTCTTAGCTATTTTCATTATACCGGTTGTCTGGAAAATGGCGGATTAACTTTTCAGTACGTTATATACGGGGGTTTCAGGACTCCCAAAAAATAATAAAAAAATTCTTTATAATGTAGATTACGAAAAAAACGTGATTTTATAAAAGTAAAATTGGCAACACTGTACACACCTAATGCGTGAATACCTCCGGCTTACTTGCTGGTTTCTTAGTAATGATGGTGACTGAAATCCACCTTCGCTTTATATCAGACAAACATTGTTGTCAAATGGAATTTTATCAAATTATTAAAAAAACAACACAGCCATATCTTTGTGCATTCTAACTGAAGTGGTAATTAAACATGGTCATGGGCGAGAAAAATATTAACTAAAAGTTTTACTACTTCTTATTCTGATAGTGAATGAGTTGTTTAGTTGTTAAACGTAGCAAAAGAGCTAATTTTAAAATCATTATAACTTCACCAAAATGTGAGAAGGATTTTTTTTACTATTTTTCCCAGACTCATCAGTTGATTGTTAAGAGCGTAGCGGAGAGTTAATCCGATATTTTCCAGACACCCGGTATAATAAATAAATCAATCATAATGATGCTTTTAATATTTGGCATACGTGAATAGAATATTTATGCGAATTCTAACGGTTAACGGTTTCTAGATTGACCACCCGCAACCTTAGATTCTATGTGGGGTTCTCTGTAAAAAAAACAAAGTTGATAGAATTTTTGACAGAGGGGCGCAGGACTAATAAACAAAAACAGCGCGAATTCATAAAGCATAAGTGTAGAAGACTACTATTTTATGAAATTTAATTTATGTTTATTGTCCAAAATTTTGGGGGATGTCATCACGTTGTTAGACATTTCGCTAGCATCTCTCTATCTACATAATATTTCTAATAGACATACAAAATTTGATAACAATCAATCCAATAGTTTCGGAGATTATCTGTCTCATAAAAATCCGGACAGACGACAGACGTACATACAGATGGAAACATGAAACCTATTTTCTGGTATTCTAGAGGTCAGGAAACCTCAAGAAAACATGAAGATTGCCAGTCCCCCGACGGATTCGAATAAAATACTAGCTTAGCTTGCGTTTAGGAAGCAAAAATTAATCCTCAAAGAATCTTGAAGAAAAAGTGGTTCATATTCCTCTAGAAGCTACAATGTCACAGATTGACAGACAAACAAAGGCATAAAAAGTATAACACCTCTCTTTTTGCATTGGGGGTTAATAAAATGAACTTTGTCAGTTGAGGTGCTTCTAACTTCGTCTTACTCACACATCTTCAACCATCTATCGGCCAAAACCATATCATGAACTTTGTCAATGATTTTTGATATGACCTTCAGAACGTTCTCCTGTGCTTGAACTTATTAACTCAGAGAAGAATGGGCTCAAAAAATAAATATAATGGCGCAGTGTGGGAAAAATCATTTCATGGATTTCCTTCGCAGTCTTTTCTTCCTAAACTCAATCACAATACGAATTGAAATTTTCTCGATTTATAAAAATCACTGAACACACTAGTATTCAATTAATTTCTAAACTAAGAATTATTGACAGAATGACTGATAATATAGAAACGTCATTTATGAGAAGCGTACTTGAAGCCTGCATATGCAGTTATTGCCTTTTTATTCATAATTCTACAGTTCCATTTGATTTGATGGATTTACTGGTAAACACATCATTTTAGAATGCAATTTTCAATTTTTACTAATTAAACTGAAACATCACTTTTTAACAGCTTTTCCAGTCGAAAACCACAACTCGGAGTAAAAACTGGAAAAACCTGAAAAAAATAGCAAATTATTCTAACGAAAACAAGACATTTTAGGAAATTACGATTTTCTACAAATGACTTCAAGGAATACATTCTGACTGTGTCGCTGCAATTGATAACGTGAAAATAAGATTATTACAAAAAGAGGACGTTGAAATTGTACAATGCTTGCAGATTTACGTTCCGGAAAGTAGAGAAACTTATTCTTTCACGATTAAGTTAACTTACAAGACTCTTGTTAATTCCATTTTCTGCTCTCTGAATCAAAAAAAGGTTTCCAAAGAAATACACTGAAACCTCCTGTAACGGACACCTTCCGACAGCAGACACCTCTCCACAGCGGCCCATTTTCATTGTCCCAACGTATAAAATAGGTCATATAATGTAAACAACCCTCGAAACATTCCACATTCTCAACAATTTTTAGTTATTTTCTTGTAACATTACCTCTTCACAACGGGCAGGTAACAGGTAAGGCGGTCCCGAGATTAGACCATACAATAAAATTTAAAGATTAGGCCAACAGATTCTCAGTAACAGGTCATAACTTCCTTCAACCCCACACCACTCATAATAAATATGGGTTTTTCCCAAATAGCAAAGCTGGGGTATAAGCAAAGAAAATTTTTAAGTATTAGTGGAAAAAATTGAAATTACAGCTCGACACTGCCGAGAAGTTTAAATTAAGCATTCAGTGACTCTCAGAAAAATTCACCGTTAGTAAAACGCAAGTTTAAGAAATTTTAAAGAAGAAAAAATATTATTACTTACATATAACAAAGAAATTCTAATAATATGTATGTAGCAATAAACAATAAAATATTAAATAAAATACATGTATGTACCTACATTGTATGTACATGTTAAAATGTAGTCTTTCCTTTAGTGCGTGTCTTGAAACCTCTTAACAGCGGACACCTCTCCGCAACGGACAATTTGAGATTCCCATGGATGTCCGTTGTTGAGAGGTCTCACTGTAATGTTACGTATGGAACAGAAGATTTGGATTTTTTTATAATATTAGAGAACAATTAAATCGAATTAACCAGTACTTATACGTAATATCAAGTAGCTTTTGAAGTTTTCGTTGGTATGTCACTGTTTTCAAATAAATTGTAAATAATGTACAAATTAGAATTTACCACTTAGTTCGGCCGATGGCTGTACGCAACACTGCAAATATTTAAAAATACCACTTTTCGGACGATTTCTTCCTAGCGATTTTTAATGCCTTGCAAATCGTGAAGGTCGATATATTTTTATTTTTAAATTATTTACAAAAATACGTTTAGCCACCTGGCTATTTATTTGTAATTTCTTTGACACAAATGACATATAAACAAAAACGCAAAAGCTACTTTATATTGAAAGTAACAAATTAACTTGATTTGACTGTTCTCTAGGATTACAAAATAAAAAGAAAAACAAAAACTTTTCTTAAATACGTTACTACAGTTAGTAAATATCGCATTTGTTCGAACATCTTGATAATCCTCCCATTCATGTATTTCCTTTTGCGTTCAATACTTAAAGATAACACCGAAAAAAACATATTTTTTTATCAAACAGGATATAGGAGGAGTTAGGTGATTAGATTGTGAAGTGAAAGATTATTAAAATTATTTTTTTATGACAAAAATATTTGAATAAATTTTATAAATTTCGTTTCACCAAGTATTGATAAGATCAAATTTAAGGCAGACTGATAGGTTTTGTTTTTTATTTTTCTATTATTCGGAGATATATATCATCACATACAGGAAATACGTGACACTGATAGGACAATTTTTAATCTGAAAACGAAAATCGCACACTATAAAAATCTTGCATAGTACAGGGAAACATATAATGTGAGCAAAATGTCTCCTTTAATTACACTTTGCTTGTGTGTGTCACCAATCTGGGCTTTGTCCTCTTCAACACCACATTCCAAAGATTTTATCTTCAAATTTAAAAGTTAGTCTTTCTGTCAACAAGCAGAAGACAAACATTTAATTTTAGAATAATTTTAGATCCTAGAATTATTAACGGGAATCCTGCAAGCGAAGGTCAGTTTCCGTGGCAAGCCGCCCTATTTATGGCCAACGAATGGTTCACATGGTTTTGTGGGGGTAGTATAATTAGCGAGGAATGGATCCTAACTGCTGGACATTGCGTGAAAGAGTAATAAACATAGTTTGAATTGTGCAAAACAAATATTAATTTTTTTCAAGAGCTTTATCTGCCCAAATCGTAACAGGATCATTAAATGTACATCAGGGCACAATTTCCAATACTACTAACTTTATTACTCACGAAGGTTTTGATTTTGACACAGTTTCTAATGACATCGGGCTTGCCAGACTTGATCCACCACTAAAATTTGATGGTGAGTTTAATAGTTACAAACTTTGCTTCCGGTAGCAAGTGGTAATTTTGTTTCAGAAAACACGGCTGCTATCAGTTTGTCCACCCAGGAACTTGGACCTGATGTAGATATCACAATTAGTGGCTGGGGGTACACAAGTGACAGTTAGTGAAATGTTGGACTTTATTTTATTTAAATCATATTTATTTTGATTTTTAGCTAGTGAAGATATCAGTGAGTTATTGAACTATGTCGAGTTAGTCACTATCACAAATGATGAATGCCAGGACACCTACGGTGTAATTCGACCTGAAATGATTTGTGCTAATTCTCCTTCATCTCAAATTAGGAGTTCTTGTAGCGTAAGTATTATTTTGAGTTTTGCACAATTGTCTGTTAATTATAAAATTTAGGGAGACAGTGGTGGTCCGGCAGTTGTTAATGGTACAACAAATCCCGTTCATGTGGCTATAGTTAGTTTTGTTAGTACAAAAGGGTGTGAAGCCGGTTTACCTTCTGGATACACAAGAACTGCTTACTATAGGGACTGGATTAAGAACAACACTGGAATTTAAGAACACAAATAAGAGACAACCTGTAAAAGTTAGAGACTCAGTAAAATATTGAAGCAGATAAAATCCTTTTATTGCTTGGTAAACGTCGTAATATTACACTGTTATAAAGATGGGGGCACGTGGTTTAAGCGTATTTCTTTGCAATTATTGACACAATTTACTCTACAAAAAGTTATATTCTTTAAGAATATAACAGTTTTAAACAAACTTAATATCAGTTATATCACTTTTCTCCAATAGCATGAAAAGTCAAAGACCCGCATCCATCACGAAATTCCTGAAAGCCGCACACACATTAGACTTTTCCAACTTCAAATTGCAGGTGTACGCTTTATGCCATTTCACTTTATACGGATGTTTTGTTCTCCATCATTTGTTTCACCAAGTCATTGCCCTCTCAAGCCCGGTTGTGTACACGGTTCCTTTAAATTTAAACCCTCCACATTCACAAAACAGCGTTTGATATGTATGAAGCGTCTGCTCAACTTTTGACAGCGCCTTCTTGTGGCAAAGCTAAAAGATCTGACGCGGAAAATCAGTGAATTGAGAACATCAGCTAAACTCTCGTTTTCCTCAAAACAAATGCTAACACAACGGTTTGGAGACCGATGTAGATTCTCTTTACGTAGGTATAAATATTTTCTAGCCCGTGCTGTTTTACCACGATCCACATCGACTAAAACAGCAATTTCGCAATTTTTTTAAATCTAATTCTGTCACCACTCGACGCAAACGAAATTTTATAGATAACCTTTCCGGAATCAGATTTAAAAGGGACAGTGTGGCGTCCTTTAAGGCTGTATTTGTTATCGTTTCTATTGCTGTTCCGGAATAATAAATCACGTTCCGAGAAGTTTCCTTATTTTGTAGAGAATTGGAATTAGTTTAACGACTTTTAAATCTGTGCTGATATACACAAGTAGCTTTTTTTGGTTCAGACTCTCAGTTGTTGTGTAATACCTACATCATTTACTTTGATTGTATGTATTTTGTGTGGAATACATAGTAAAATGAATTTTTGAATTTTGAATGAACAAATAAACAGTGGCGAATAAAATATTTTCTTGGAATGTAGATATTTGTGGATACAAAACTTCTTTCACTTCAACTGCAGCACTAAAACCTGCACCAAAACTGAAACTGAAAGACAAGTCGACGAGTTATTCAACGTTAACATATCTGATATTTAGTCGCTCGAAGCTCATTTCCACCTCACTTCACGGTCTGTGACGAAGTCAAAAGACTTCTTAGGGCTTTGATCCAATGCTGCTGGTTTCTAGATTTCTCTCTCAACAATGTCAAAACAAGCTACCTCGCTTAAGATTCTTGTTCGCTGAAATTTAATTACACAACTGCCAAGATGTAGGAATCGGCTATACATTATAAACATAGAGACTATGCATCCAAGAAATGGAGTTATTTCTTGTCGCTGGTACTTTATTTTAATTTAGTTCAAAATGGCGTAACAAAAAAAAACAATGATGTAATAACAATTAAAAAACTAGATATGGAGATGGCCAGACTTCAGATTTAGAAACAAAATCTATTATTCCTTCTGACACAATACAAAAATAATAAACAATGTGACTAGGGATGTACCGACTGTAGGTTTGGCCGACTAACCGACTAGCCGATTGTTCGGCCACTAAAAACCGACTAGTCGGCCGACTGTTCGGCTTTGCTAAAACCGGTTTATAAATGCGACAGTGTTTTTTTTCTATTTCTCTGACTACCTTAAAAATTTGTTTTATTTTAATAAAAGTTCTTTTGTTTTCCAAAAAATGTGTTAAATTTCTTTGGATAATTTTAAAATTTATTTTGTTTTGTAGTAACTCAGTACAAAAATAAAGAATAACACAATTTAGGGCCAGTTTATACAATATTTTAAGTGAGATTAAGTTGATCACGCGTTTAACAAGGCCATTAGCGATTTCTGATTGGCGTAGAGTCGGTCACATGGTACTTTAACGCCGTGTTAAAAATTAAATCACATTTACATATTTAATTAAGGTTCTGTAAACGGGGTTTAATTGTATTATATACTATTTTAATTTTAATAAAAAAAGCCGACCGATCGGATGTTTAACCGACCAGTCGCCGACTACCAGCCGACGATGAAAAACGGCCGAATAGTCGGCTTATTCGACCGATCGGCTACTAGTCGGTACATCCCTAATAAATGTGACAGTTATCAACAGGATTGATGTAACTGTAAAATATCAGATTGCTTGGAAGCGAAGCATTGGTATGTAAAAATACACAGCAGAAGAAGAGGAAAAAAAAATACCTAAAGAATTGACCCAAGAATGATAACAGAAAAATAAAGCTTGAAAATAAATAACGTCAATGTAAAACTATATGCAGATTTCATAACCAAGGTCATTGGAGGAACAGCAGAGGAAGTCGGAACAACTAGGAAATATATTTCAGTAAAAGATACAAGATTCGTATGTAAAAGTCGAAGCCAACTTAAAGTAGATTCATACAAGAATCTCCCAGAAGTACGTAAAGATATCATACAAGATAACATAAAAATTGTAAAGGAAACGATAGAGACCCAAAGATTTTCAAAGCGAGCTACTTAGTATAATGTTATTGAAGAACTTTATACGAAATATATAGTTGCAACGCAATGCAAAAAACGTATGCTTGAAGGTAACAAAGCGTGAGGAGATCAATCCAACCCTGGATTGGTATTTAGATAGCAGTGCTTCAACACACTTATGCAACTAATTGGCCCAGTTTAGCAAGCCCAAGCACTCGAAGAGGGGAACGTTAAATCCCGCGTACAAGAAGTCTACCAGGACGATGGTCGAAAATAGGATACGGTTCTCAGAGCGTGTACCTACTGGCGAAATAGCAAGTGTTTTTTTAAATAATTTTTTAATGTAAGTAATATCTCCATTATTAACAGAGTTATTATTGTTATGAAATTTTAAGTCTAACCTGTTCACAACTTTCTGGATATAGCACTTTTTAAATTAGTGCCATCTTCATTTTAATAAGGTAAAGTTTTTAAGGTATCTTTAAAAATCAATATCCTAATTATTTATGGGAATTTTGGAAAGCAATTTTCACCACGGTTTTCAGTTTACAGAACTCTATAAGCTACGCGAAAATCATTGTCGTTTTTTTTTTGTCAGAAATAAGATACCTTTTAGTGTATGTGTGTGAAGCTTGTGTCGAAGAAGCTATTTTTACTGAATTTCATTTCCGACAAAAAAATCAACAATGTTTCCCACGTAACTGATACGTGATGAAAAACTTCGCCTCAATGCTCTTGTGTTATATGGAGAAATTTATGGGCAGATTATATTTAAAATTTCATAACAATAAATTTGTTAATAGATATGTACTACAGTTTGAAAATGTATTTATTGAAAATCCCATGCGTCAAAAGCAGACACTCCTCCTAGGTGGCGCCCTCCCCATTCCCGATTTGGGAATTAATTTAATGTTCGTGAGAAAAGTAACGGATCGTGAGCTTGAAGTACGTTTTTGGCGTAACGACGCTGCGCGACGCGATCGTAGACTTAGATGGGACTGTGGAGTCGTGTGAGAAGAGGCTTGATGACTTTTACTAGATATGTGCGTGGGCACAAACACAACGCGCGTTTGGCTTCCAGTGAGGACAATTTCCCGCTCAAATCTTGGCAACTAGAAGAACTCATTCCCGAAGCATTTTAGCCGGTGCACACTGCAGAGACGAGAGAAGCCGAGAAACTTCACCAGAGGTTGAGCATTCAACCCACATAGAACACTCCTTCCCAGACGGTGGAATGCGAATGCGAATCGAATCCAGGCGCATAGCCCCGCCGATGTTCCTTCCAGACGGACGGGGAAAACGAGAGGCCGGGCTTGAATGATGGCTCCACGGAGGTCAGTTTTGCAGAAGAAGACGATGTGAGCAACATCATCTTCGAAGACAACCCTGATCAGGGTTGTGTTAGAGCTTTAGGTTGACCGATGGTGATCGGAATAGGACCAAAAAACAATTTTGAACGAAACTTCTTCGTTAATGGGTACATAGATACAATGATACTGATATCAGCGGGAGTACTATGTACACCTTATTTTGTTTCAATATACGCTTTGATTCCTTTTGTGTTCTTTTGATTGCATCATAAAACATTTTACCAATCTCAGATTTGTCGACTATATTGTTTTAATAAGTAGCGACTCTCAAGAGATTGTGTCTACAGAGAGCAAATTAATTTTAACACAATCCACATGAATAAAATTTAAATATGTCAGACACTCAAAAAACGTAAACATACAACTTGAAGAGCTAGAATTAGTCGAAGATTATATATAAGTATTTAAGATTGAAAATGACAAGTAAGGACAACACGAGTGATGAAATATCAAAAAGAACCAGTCTTTCCTGGGCAGCTTTTGGAAACTTAAAAGAGAACGTATGAAAAACCAAATATTTTGAAGAAAGAACTATAGGTATATATTGTCAGTGCTTACGTATAGATCTGAAACATTGTATGTCACAAAAAGAAAGAAACACAAATATTATCTAGGGCGCAAAGATCACACGAAAGAATAATGAACAATGGGTATCAAACCAACAGATTGCAAACGAAATACTTTCACTTGAACACAATGTAATTGGAAATGCTTGCAAGCTTATGCAGGCTCAAGCCGCAGACTACAACTCAGCATGAAAGACAATAATATACCACCAAACTGATGAGTATTTTTGACGTTCAGATCTCAAATCACCAAGATTAGTTTCACTTTTTTAACACGTGTAAACCAGTTCTCTAATTTGTTATAATTGTGCAATAAAATGATTGTAAATGAGCTTAACTGATTTTATTTATCTAACATAACTCTTGTCGGAACGTAAGATGTTTTACGATTGATTTAATGACGCTCTTACGAATTTTAATTTACATGCAACATTTTTGTAACATTTTTCTCTTGGGGTGTTTTTTGTTAAGATAATTCTAGTTACGGTTACAAAATTTGAAATATCAAAAATATATTAAGTTCGTTTTAATTTCTACATACTTAATTACGATATGACAAGTGGACTTTTACCACTCATGTAT